GACATTGTCAGTGGAAGTTTTTTACCTTGCCATAACCTTTATACTGGTCCGACTGCAAAGATCGGTTTTCTAAGTTTTATGGGAAAAATGGATTTGTAAAAAGCATCCCTTTTTGCATGCTTTTTTCCTTTTATGCCTTTTATTTGTATTTTTAATACAATCAAGTCTTTAAAATAGCAGAAATTGCACAATTGTCTGCATTTCTAAAGAATAGTATCCAACAATTACTCAGTACTTAATTAGCCTTTCTACCAAATATGATTTTACTTTGATTAATTTCTTAGATTACAGTTTTTTTTTTTAGGTTTTTGCATCACTAGTGGGGAGAGGGAAGAAGACATGCAGCAAAGAACCACAGGCCAGATTCGAACCCAGGTTGGCCACGTGGAAGACTAAGGCCTCTGTAATGGGTCAAGCACGCTAACCACTGTGCTATTTTTTACTTTTCTGTGAATTAAAATAAAGTTAAACTAGTGCAACTCTTACCTGAGTACATATTGTGGGTACTCTATCCACCTTTGCAGAGTAAACACCATGGTGAGATCCAAAGAACCGTCAAAGCCATTCAGAAAGAAGATCAGAACAAGGCGTAAATCTAGAAAAAGGGTGAAGAGCAATCCTTCTGGACAGAAAAGGGGTTTCCATTTCTGTACTGGAGAGGTTTTCCTGCTCCAGTACAGCTGATTTTCATTGATAACTAGTTAGAAGTCTTATTCTGAACAGCAATCATCAGAATCAGCTGTGCTAAAGCATGGAAACCTCTAAAACTTGCAGGACAGCGGCCCTCGAGGACCGACTTTGGGCATGCCTGAACTACATAAACAAAACTTTGTTTTGTTTTTTTGTCATTCCCTTTACTGTGAGAGCACTGCTCTGGTATTATAGTGATGTTAGCCACTTTGCATCATTTAAAGAGCATATACCTCTATTTTAGATATCAAATGATGAAGGGTTGTCATGTTTTTAATGCTGATCATGATACCAGTTGATATTTTTGGGTCGATTCTTGAAGCCAACATTTGATTTTCTATTTACATTGATAAAAAACTACAAAATGATAAATGTTACACAAGTCTCATTTTAAACAAAAGAAGGAAACATAAAAAAATAAATAAAACTTAATAGCAAATGGGGGGAATGTGAATGCATGCATTTCACATGATCTTTAGGCATGGCTGCTGAATTCACTAATGAATCGATGAACATGATACAAGAACAAAAAAATGCCTAATATCAGCTCAAAGTATCGGTGTATCATTCCATCTCCGCTCTATTTTATGACAAAATAACTGTTAAGGCAGTGGAGGGCCAGATAATTGCCATGAGGGACTAGAGTCTGTTCGCGGGCCGTGAGTTTGACACCGTCGTTCTAACCAATGTGCTGCAAATTCTTTGGAAGCCGATTGTGAAGGCCAGTATTGCTTTCCGTTTCTCCATTTACATAATAAAACACTAATATCAACCAAAAAAATAAATAAATATTGATGTAATCAGCTGATTTTCCTTTGATAGAAATATTTGAGCCAATATGATTCGGTTGAATTGTCTCTGTAAAGTTCCTTGTGATGACATATGTTGTGAATTGGCGCAATATGAAAAAAAACTGAATTGAATCTTTCCATCTCTAGCTATGCAATGTTTGTGTGAAAAAAAGAAAACTGTTCTCTTCAACGTAATAATTCAAAGCATACCAGGAAATCCTTTAAAGGTGAGGTTGAGACTGAAAGTACTGGAAGTCCTCAGTCAAGACAAAGCCTGGATCTTGTCCCCATGGAGATGTTGTGAAAGTCCTGAGTCATTTCAGAGTTTAGCAGGTGTGTCATTATTTATTAATACTCAATCCGTCCTTGATGCACTTGTATGTTTTGGGTAATCGTCTTATTGCAGGGTCCAGTTCTGCTTTTGAATCCCACCCTCCCCACCCCTCTGATAGACTATAATTCTGGTTAGCCATTTACAGGATTAACCTTTAAATGGCAGATGGACTGATTTATATAGTGCTTATCTAGTAGTAGCACCCACTCAAATATCTCAAACTTTCTTGAGCTCGGGAGTGCATTTAAAAAGCGGAAGATAGAAACAAGTTCAGTTTTCTAATTACTTGACAGGTACTTTATCAACAGATCTCATTTCTGGTGTCCAAACAATCAGATTATTCTCAGAAGTCCTGTGCTGCTTGCATCACCTCTGGAAAACATCAAGTGTAAAGTTTTCCTCCTTGCACACAACGAGTGAAAGTTAAGCTGGTCATAATATTTTTTTCTAATTGTCCAGATGTCCACTCTAATATCTTGTGATATTTGCTATATTGACTTGTTCTCATATGTATTTAGTTGTCAACCTACAGGATGTGCTTAATTGAAGGATCAGGTTGGACATGTTAGTTGCTGTGAATGTCATCCACTTGTAGACCGTTTAGTAAAATCCGATCTTACAATCTGCTGTTTTTTCTGAAGATAACCGTTTTTGTTCCTCACATCTTGTTCACCCTCACTGTCAGGAACACATCAGCCGTAATATCTGAAGTGTAAGCTTCCAAATGCTGAGTTATGGTCTAATCTGCATCTGATATGACATTGCTATGTTTAATTTTAATAATCTAATAAGATAAATTCAGGGATGTATTAATTATTACAAAAAAAGCCTTTTTTCATCAAACATATACAGAAAATCTTCGAAGAAATACTCATTTATTTTTTTAAATCATAGGTTGTTTGTATGGGTGAAAATGATACCCTCTTTCCATAGGTCCAAACCTTAAGTCATCCTAAGGGGTCCTCGTTTTTTAATATATAACCAAATTTGTCAGATTACACTGTAGCTCAGATAGTTTTTCTGGAAATCTCCACTAGCTCATGGGAAAAGTTTGCTTGTTCCTGAAGAGGTTCAGCTATGTCCACCACCTGGTTGCTCACTTTATCGTTTCCGCTGTTTGGTGCTGAAGATGTTGTGTACACCAGGTTTTCTCAGCCTGCGAAATGAAAACAAGCCTTCCTGAGAAAACGCTTCAATGCTGAACAAGAGTAAATATCATGTAACGCTGAAGAAGGCGTGTAGGAGTAGAAATCTGTTTATCTGGTGATTTAAATAGAGGCCTTAGTGTTTTGCTAAACAGCTTACTAGTAAGATAATAGAGAGTAAAATGTTTAAAAGAGGTTTGCATAAAAAGAACATGCAAGGGAATGAGGGTTTGCATGTGCAGACATGAACGCAGCTATTGCCTGGAGACATTAAGGGAGAAAAACATTATATGATTCACAGGCGTTGCATGGCACATCAACGCATACCTCCTTCTCCAAGTCACAAAGTGCTCCTTAATCTGTGCTCCGCCGACACACTCTCCCCCTTCTCACAGGAGGATTTAACGAGGTTTGAATGGATCAGCTCCCCACTAATCAGAACATGAGAGGGATTCCTCACATGCAATCAGGTAGCATGTGTAGAGATGAAAAGCAAAATCCTTCAAGCAGTTTCCTGGATGAAACCTTAGCAGACTATAAACTACAGAATGTCTAAAGAGTTTTTAACCCGTCTGTGATGTTTGTTTTACGGTTACTACACCATTTCCTGGTATTGTTGACAAGACCAAAATCTTTAGACAGTGTAATGATGCTTTCTTTGCACAGATAGGATCTACATGGTGACTACCACCATGCAGCCCCCATTAACCAGCATTATGCTCTGCACCTGCATCCTACACCAGCACATAGAGAGTCTGAATGTGCACAAACAAAAACACAAGCCAACAGGATATAAACACACACTTCATCCTGAGAAGTGACAAAGGAATTGCTGAAAGACATATTGCTGCATAACCTGAGGTGGACAGGCCGACTAATTATTAAAAAGAACTAAAATAGCATTTTTTTTTTTTATGTCAGATTACTAAAAATGTTTTAACAATGATAAGAACATCCCAAAAATAGATAAAGTCAGAGGACTATTAAGTTTTTAGTTCATGTTTGTTCGGTTTTTTAAATATTTTGGCTCAAATACCTACTCCAAATCTATAGCTATAGCTTGTTCAACATTCTTTATACTCCTAAACACAGCTTTAATTCAGTTTATTTATAAAGTGCCAATTCACAACACGTCATCTCAAGGCACTTTACAGTTCACCAGATCATCCAATCAAATGTATTCAAAGTTTTCTATCAAAGGAAAACCGGTTGATTGCATCGACTCACTGACTCGAATGCAATCCGTCATACCAAACATGCTTGTAGCGACAGTGGAGAGGAAAAACTCCCTTTTAACAAGAAGAAACCTCCAGCAGAACCAGGCTCAGTGTGAGCGGCCATCTGCCGAGGCCGACTGGGGTTCAAAGAGACAGAAGCAGGATGCTAAGTTAAATGATATTATCTTAAAAGCTGAACAATATCCCCAGTTACAGCCATCATCACATTATAAGTTAATTTCAGTACTCTTTTAAACTGCTTGGAAACAAAATATATTGGTTTTACTCCACTTGCCATCTCCTCATGCTGCAAACATTTAGTAATGATTGAGCTTAATGCCCCTAACTTATAAAGATTACCATAATAATCTTTATAAGTTAGAATACTTTCAAGAAGACAAAAAGGCGGTCAGTGTAAAAATAACTTCTTTGGTCAAATTTATTTGTATCTATTTTAAAATAAAACTAAGTTCCCAATGCATCCTTTATGTATGGATGAGAACCACTAAAGGATATTTTTGTATTAAATGCACTCTTATTATAAATGGCGCAACAGCGCCCTCTAGCGACTGTAGTTTTCCCACATGTGTTCCAGTCTGGTGTCGTGATTTCTATCAACCCATTTAGTGAGTAACACACATCCAATAGTTCATGACAGCATTAACATTTTGTGGCATTTTCTAAAACCAGCAGATCATTTATTTTAAATTATTTTAAAGCAGTAATTACTTTTAAAGTAGTAATTAAGATACGCAAAACAGAGGGTTCAGAGCAATTTTAAAGCGACCTGACAAGAAAAACAAAAAGCGAATGAAAAACAAAAACCTCGCTTTAAATGATCACGAATCAACTGGCAGCATGAGAACAACAACAAAAACGTCACGTCTCGTGCACGCGCTGGAACTAACCACGCGATGGAGATTGACAAGATGGCGAACATTTTTAAAACAGGAGAGTAGCAACCGTGAAGGAGAGTGTCGGTAAGCCCTGTCCTTTAAAAGGAAAATTAAAACTAATTTCTTCTGCCGTTTGTGATAATTAATTGTAAACGTAGCCAGAGAATTTATGGTGAAATTACGACGAAAACTGTGAAATGTAGCCTTGAAAAAAGCGTAAACTTATCGGGATATTAGCCCGGCTGACTCTTGCTAGGTAGCATGCTAGCCCAATATTAGCAGCTCACTAATCTCTTAATCACACACACACCAGAAAACTGGAATAGCATGCTTTGGAAATGGTTTATAAACTATGATTTGAGATCATTTATTTTAAGTTTGCCGTTTCCCATTAATAATAAGGCGCTGTTTATTTGTATTTTAATTCGTAAAGCTCGGGTTAGCCTTGGGTAGCTGGTTCGTGTTAGCAATCTGATATAAGACTTTTTGAGTCGTTATCAAAATAAAACAAAAACACCCTTCGATGAGTTATTTTTTTATTTAACCGTATATCGGTTGTTTTTGGCTGGGGCGTGTTGTATATGTATTTATTCTACATTTAATTTCCACGATCGGACCAGGCAACCACAAGGACAACCAAGGCAAAGCGCGCTAACTCGCAGATAAATCCTCGCTGGCTCTCTGAACAATCACGACTCTGGATCCTGTATCCCACAGCTCTGATTTCAATATACGGCAACCGTGACGTTTGTTTCGTTGGTATATGTGGATTAATGTATACTTATTTAATAATAAATAAATAAAAAGTCAACCCCATTACATAGGAGTTATCCTTTATATTTATTGTTCTTAAAAGGAATAAACACGCCCACTCCACAGCTATAAAAAGGTAAACATGCGCAAGTATTGACTTGATTTTAAAAAAGTTAGTGTTTAAACCTTATAATTCATTTATAAACCTTATTTTGTTACCTTTGCAAAAGTTTTAACAGAATTTAAGATTGCTGCTGAAAAGATAAACAGAACTAGAATAATGTGAGTTAATCCACAAGATAAATCAGTAGACTTGTGGTGTTTCGATGCACAGGAAACATAATATCCAGATTAATAAAGTAAACTATTCTGCATGTACTCTCATAGTAGATGCTTGGAGGATTTGGTTTACCTAATGAAGGGGGGATAATGTTATGAGGTCCTCAGAAAATCTCAGATACTTTAAAGATTTGGTTTCAGCTCTTTCTGCAGTGTTTTCATTGGAAAAACTGGTTGCATAAAGAAAGCTTTTGAAGATTTGTGGTCCAGATTATCTTGAAACTGTTTGCTTATAAATTATTAGATGTGAATTTATACTACTATATTGTCATAGATCTCAATAGGATCAGCGAGTTTGTACTTCTGTTACCATTTATAGAAATGGTTCATGTTTTACATCCAAGTTAAGCTTATTATAGGTATGAGTCAATTATTGATACCAAATAAAACATTTTTTCCATTACTAAATAGAAAACAAGTTGGGTATGTGTTAAAATAAAATGTAAAAAAGAGTTATACACTGTTTTAAGAAATGAAAAGACCCCAACTGATCCCAAATTTACCAGACGAAGGGAAAACAAATTAGTTGACCTTCATTTATTAAGTGAAGCTGCTTTATCTGTCACAACTGCTCACTGCTGATCATAAGGTTTTAAAAATAAGCTTAAAAGAACTCTTAAAAACATTGCATGTATAGTTCAGCAGCCTTAGAAATAGTCGTTTTGAATGGGAGGATTATATTTTCATGCCGGCTTAGAGATCAACTATTTAAAACAAATTAGTCCGATTTGTTCTTTTCTTCCCTTTCTTCCTCTTCATTAAAAGAAAAAACCTTGAAAGTTTAGCTCCATTTTCTAATTTCACCTATATCTTTAAGATTCTGAGAGGGAACAGCTTATAAAAGGGTAATTTACCCAGTAAATGTACCATTTAGTCTTTTTCTCGTAAAAAAGTCCTTAAATTAGATATGGTTCTGAAATAAAGAAATAAAAATCACATGCAGAAGACTAAAAACAGTAAATATAGGTTTGTAATTGATTGATGTTGCTGCATCTTTTTCCCCGCCTTCTTAAATGTCTCATATTTTTCTTCCAGAACCTATACCATGTCCTGGGACGTTCCCGTTTCTCTCCTCACTGTGGTTACCGTGGTACTATGAAGCCAGTTTGACACCGACACGTGCACTCTCTGCCTCGCACACAAACCAACAGTCAGTTCTAGACTGACGCAGGCTGCCCGCTCGGCCGGCAGGCCTGTGTGATGGACAGGTGTAAGCATGTGGGGCGGCTGCGCCTGGCCCCAGACCACTCCATCCTCAACCCTCAGAAATGGCATTGTGTGGACTGCAACACCACCGAGTCCGTTTGGGCCTGCCTGGGCTGCGCGCATGTTGCGTGTGGTCGTTACATCGAGGAACATGCTCTTCAGCACTTCCAGCAGCAGCGCCACCCACTGGCAATGGAGGTCAATGAGCTCTATGTTTTTTGCTACCTGTGCGACGACTATGTGCTGAACGATAACGCTACTGGAGACCTCAAGCTACTACGCAGCACTCTGAGCGCCATTCAGAGCCAGCGCTATGAGGTCACCACTCGCAGTGGGCGCACCCTCCGCTCCACTAGCGCTGCAGCAGATGCTCTCATACCCTGCGGTGCCAGCGAGCTGCAGCTGAGAGATGAGGACCGAATGTTTACTGCCCTCTGGCATCGCCGCAGGGCTCTTATCGGACGCACCTTCCGCTTTTGGTTTGGGCTGACTGAGTGTGGGAAGAGAAGAGAGGAAGAGGAGAGAAAGAGACAGCAGGAGGAGGAGCAGCGACGGGAGGCCAGGGAGAGACGGCGTGCTTTAAAGAGGCAGCTACAGGAAGAGCTGGAGAACGCTCCTCTGAGAAAGAGCAGGCGTTTGCGTCGGAAAAGCCAGAGAGTTGTGGATACAGCAGTCGCACCAGCTGTTAAAAAGGATCGCAAAAAGACTAAAGCTCAAGCGGCCTCGTCTCAAGCCCGCAGGCCACGGACTCAGAGTTCAGCCTCTGTTGCTCCTAAGAAAGCCAGGCAGGCAAAGAAGCCCCAGCCTGCTCCCAGATCCCAGAGACGTTCCTCTAACGTCAAACCTAAAACCAGAACCCCATCCAGCACAACTCGCACTGCCCAAACCCCAATCCGCCGCAAGCAAAGTACCAAACAGGACGGCTCACCGTTCAAACGGCGTCCCACAGTCACTCCTGGAGTGACGGGTCTGAGAAATTTAGGAAACACCTGCTATATGAACTCCATCCTGCAGGTGCTAAGCCATCTGCATGTTTTCAGGGAGTGTTTTCTGCGTCTGGACCTGACCCAGGCTCTGGAGCTACTAGCTTCTGCCGTCCATGGCCAACTAACTGTGAAGACCACATCACAGTTTCCCCTGTCTCAAAGAAAGGGACTGCAGTCAACCTCGGGCTCCAGCACAGGGCTGAGCGGAGGGGCATCGCGGGGCCGCAGCATGGAGCTAATCCAACCCAAAGAGCCCAGCTCAAAGCACATCTCCCTTTGCCACGAGCTGCACACTTTGTTCCAGGTCATGTGGTCCGGCAAGTGGGCGCTGGTCTCGCCTTTTGCCATGCTCCACTCGGTGTGGCAGCTGATCCCTGCGTTCAGGGGCTACGCTCAGCAGGACGCTCAGGAGTTCCTGTGCGAGTTGCTGGATAAGGTGCAGCAGGAGCTGGAGAGCACCGGCAGGACCACGACCACGGCCGGAGTCCCACAGAAACGCCTCATCAAGCAGGTTCTGAGTGTGGTCAACACCATCTTCCACGGGCAGCTTCTCAGTCAGGTAGGGGTCTCTCACACCTCACCATCAAAAACAAAAAAAAACACTTTGAAATTCTTGGCAAGCATAACCAAGAGTTTTAAAATTAAGTCACTTTAATCGTTTAAAGGGAAATAGCCAGGAGTGTTATTGGAGGTCAGGACAAGACCTTACCACGTTTGTAACATTAAAATAATGTATATTTTGATGGCAAAACTTTATATAAACGCAATAACAAGAAACAGCCACTTGCCCTAATATATTAAGAAAATAAAAGTGCTTCTATAAGAAATTCATTAAAAAACACTCAAAAAAGTGAAAGAAACACATTTTCTTTGTTACATCATAGCCTTAGAGACAGTAATGATGTTACAGGTACTTACAATTTTAACTTTTTTTTTTTACTTTTCAACTAATTTTTTCACTTCACTATCTTATCTTGTTTTCTTAACTTGTTAACTTTTTTCCAGCTGAATTTACAGTTGGTAATATATCATTTAAGGCTTCATCTAACCAGTCTAATGCCAGAATAAGATGTACAGCCATGTAGCATTATCTCTGCTGAATGGCTGGATATAGATCTTGTGCTTCTAGATAGATAAAAAAACAGTAACTTGCCATTTAAAGGGTTAAAAGCGGAAATATTTTACCCGACAAATGATCTTCCTGTTAAAATTATTTTATGGTGCTTGTTTAGAACTCAAAAAGCCATTAAAACCAATATACTTGTTTTATTAAAAATATTTCAGCTTTTTTTGTGTAATCTGCTGCAAACAGAATTATTGAGCTTTTTTTTCTCCACACTTTTTGTCCCCTTTGTCTGGAAGCAACATGACTTGGATCAAAGTGAAGCTTAAGGCAGTTTTCTGAACAGAGAAGCTGTCCGACCCAGGAAGGTTCCTTACTACTCAGAAAAACTTTTCTTTTTCTCCAATCTGATTAAAATCATTCAGAGCTGTTAGGCGAAACCCTTCATTTTTAATAAGCTAAAGGTGATCTGAGAGTTCAGGGTTTTCCTTTTGGTAAATTTAGATTCCATGTTTCGTTTTGTTTCTATCAAGAAAAAGTTAGCAAGTTTAAAACTTTATCATCCACTTCCATCCTGGAAAAAACTGAATGTTTGTGGTTTAATAAAGATTAAATACGTTAGATACATGAGAGTAAAGTCTAAATACCTTTAGAGGGCTATGAAGATGAGTATGTAAAGGAAGATGACTAATGCTTACTTGTAGTCGGAGCAGATGGACATCTGCTCCTGCTGATTAGAAGGCTGTTTGCCATCATTTTTAGCCACCATCTACTCTCTAACTATTCACCGTAATGCTGACTCAGACTGCATGACAAAGAAGCAACTGCCTGATTAGAGGAGAAACATTTTGTCCAAAGCTGCTTAAGTCCTCCACTCATCCTGACTCCTACCTGCAGGTGACGTGCCTGGCCTGCAGCCATCGCTCCAACACCGTGGAGCCTTTCTGGGATTTATCTCTGGAGTTCCCAGAGCGCTATCACAGTAACAGCAGAGAGTCGGCCGCTCAGGCTTCGTGCCATCTGACGGAGATGTTGGCCAAGTTTACGGAAACGGAAGCGTTGGAGGGAAACATCTATGCCTGTGACCAGTGCAACGGTGAGGGAAATACTCCGCTTTGGTTTGGTTCACACTGGAGTTTGTATTTTATGAAACTCATGAATCTTTACGCTAATGCTTTGGAACAAAAACTAGAGTTATACAAATGTTTATTCTACCTTCGTGCAGCTGCAGCCAGACGACGAACATGCTCCAAAACTGTCATCCTGACTGAAGCGCAGAAACAGTTGATGGTCTACAAACTGCCTCAGGTCCTAAGACTTCACCTAAAACGCTTCAGGTGAGACCATGTGCTCATTAGCCAGGTGATCTGCACAGCGTTACTGAACCAGCTCTTTTAGGCTAAGCTTCTTAGACTTACTGCGTTCTCTCTGGTTTTTGGATGATCCACAGGTGGTCCGGGCGAAACCATCGGGAGAAGATTGGCGTCCACGTCAGCTTCGACCAGCTCCTGAACATGGAGCCCTACTGCTGCAGAGAATCGTCGCCTAAAAGTGTGCCCTGCTCCAATCCCAGCAGCCCCAGCTCCCCGGGGTCACCGCGCCCAAAGCACTTCCTGTATGAGCTCTCCGCTGTAGTGATGCATCACGGGAAGGGCTTCGGGTCAGGCCACTACACCGCCTACTGCTACAACACAGAGGGAGGTGAGGCAAAATTTTTAAATTATTCTGAAAAAAAAAAAAGAACCTCCAGCAGAGCACCCTAAACCTGCATGTTTGGCTTTTGCTTCTCAAACACACCTGATCTGAATGATCTCCTCAAATAATCCCTAGAGGTTGTGCAGTGAAGAAAATGATCCATTTGCAATATCCTGCAATCTCCTCTAGATGCAACACCTGATTCAAATGAGGGGCTCGTTAGCAAGCCTCTGCAAGGCTGAATGAAGCCAGCAGGATCTTTGTTTGATTCAGGTGTGCTGGAGAAATAATGCATGAAGGAAAACCACTTGAAGAGGCACCTCTGGACTAAAATTATTTTTTTTAAATGCAATAAAAAGTCAAGGTTTACCAAATACAATAATTAAATTATCAATTGGATAATATATAATACAGCTGTAATTAATTCCTTAACTTTGCCTTCTATTTATTTACTTAAATGATTAAAGGCTGAAATCTTATATATATATATATATATATATATATATATATATATATATATATATATATATATATATATATATATATATATATATATATATATATACACTTTTTTTTCAGTATCTATTTCTATACTTTAATTATTAGTAATGTTATGTAGTTTCAATTAGAATAAATTAGGTGATTCATCTTTTGATCCTGTTTGAACAGACGTGGACCTTGTCTGGTGATTTCCGGTTTTCAGATGATATTGCCTTTAAGAAGTGAGAATTATCAGATATCACTTTGCTTCTGCCTTTCAACGCTTAATAATTACATAAGAAATGGATCATGATTCATAAGGCCAAGTCAGCTGAGGAGGTTGATCTGATCAGGACATTTCTGTGGATGTATGACAGACTTAAATAATTCACTGACACATAAGGTTAATAGGTTATTTGAAAGATTTCAAAAACTGTACCAAAAAAAAAAGCCTGAGGATGAGATCTCTGATGAATAATTCACGCTAAAATCCTGATCTGAAGTCCAGCAGACGATAAAATTCCAGCATGGTTGATAATTCTTTTTTAAAAAGCAGCACATCTCCAAATTTGTCATTTTATCAAGGATCCCCATCAGCTGTTGCCATGGCAAACAGCTATAGTCTTACTGAGGTCAATATTAAAAACATACAATACAAAGCTCAGTCACAACTATTACATTTCCAAAAATGTAATTCCTAAACACACAACAGTTTAGAAATGATCAGAGAATGCACAAAAGAGAAAGTAAAACAAAAAACACCTCAGGGCATCAGATAGGGTCTCAGAATCTTTTTAAAAGATAATTTACTTTGAGTGCAGCAGATGTATTGAGGTAGATTATTTCAAAGACGCAATGATCTATATATAAACGATCTCTTTAGAGCATTGGTTTTTGGAGCTGGTAAAACAAGATGCCCATTACTGGAGCCTTTAGTGTTGTGATCATGAACAGATCTAATAAAAACAATTTGGGAATGTATAAAAGCTGGAGCATTAATAGTCATGACTGACTTAAAGAGCGTAAGTGTATTAGAAAGCAACTTATTCTCCACCATGAGCCAGAAGAGGTGGCCATGCTTCTGGTTGACATTAGATCTAACGTAGCACCTCAGTACCAACCTTGCTGCCTTGTTCTCAGCATCCTGGAGCTTTTTAAGTTCACCCCTGGCAGCTGATGTCCAAACTGGAGCGCAGTAGTCAAGATGAAATAAGACTGAACTATTTGACATAAAAGGGAGCGGGTCACAAAAACGCAGCATTTTCTTGCAGTATTAATTGCTCTTCCCATTTTCAAAACAATATAATTAACATGGTGAGACCGAGGCAAAAATAAGTACCATCACACCAAGGAGTTTGGCACTTTAAACTTGTTGAACCGGCAAGTCACAAAAATGTAAATCAATCTTTAGGCTTGCAGATCGCTTGTGTCTTGAACCTCATGCACTTAGTCTTAGAGATGTTGAGGGCCAGTTTGTTTCACATCACCCGATCATGTAGCCTGGGTTCCATTCCGAACTTAGTCCCGCCCACAAAGTTTGAGGTCGGGGAAGTTCGGTCTGGCTCTGCTCCATAGTAGCGCCAGTATTATCGCCCACTGT